CTTGCAGCTGTGTAGCAGTGAGAAAGTAGTATGAGTAGAAAAGCAATTGGCACAGACATTTTTTTCAAACATCTGCATAAAAGCTTGGAAAAGCCATAGAGAACTAATTTCAAGAGGAAGGAAGGGAGGTGAGTAAACCAACCATCTCAAACCTGTGAGGACAGTAGCTGTTGTTGTGCTCACCAGACATTCCCGCTTTTAAATTAGAGCTTAAAGCAGATGAACAAGGGAGAAAAAAGCTGGATGCTGATGGCATTTTTTTTGTATAACACATTGCTACACTTTACCAACTCCTCTTTGTCTTCTGTAGGTCTTATTCATGTTGGTGATGAATTGAGGGAAGTCAATGGGATTCCTGTGGACGATAAAAGACCTGAAGAAATAATACACATTTTGGTAAATACCAGAAGTTTTAAAATTAATATAGGGGAATGAAGAACAAGTAATTACACTTACGATTTCTGGTGTATTTCTTAGAAAAAAAGTATATTCTACAATAATGCCATTTCTTTCAGTGCCATCGTTTACAAACCTCTATTTCCTTTCTCTTAAAGAATTGTTTTCTGCGCATTATATATATACGCAATTACAGATTACTTCCAAAGAGTTAATGATGATAATATGGCTATAAATGTGTTGCAGATTGTTGCAGATCTCAGTGTATAATCTACAGTTTTTAAGGCTCACCATGATCTGTTGAATTAAAACTATTTTAAATTTATTCATTAATAAAGCGTTAACTCCATGTGAAAATTAATTCATAATACATATACTTAATAGACTGTATAAGTGGCATAGTAAGATTATATTTTACATAGATTTGCAATATATAGCCATATATATGATTATGTTTGCACTCTTCTGAACTGCACAGACTCTAAAGCCAACCTAATTACTCACTTATGGAGCACTATTGCAAATTAAGTAATTTAGACTTTTTCAGAGATATTTAATTATTTTACTAAGAAACCAATGAGGGTCATGACAGCTCCTTATATTCATGGTGTCGGAATTTCTAGATACATAAATGCCTTGCTGTCCAGCTGAATTGAGTGGCTGTCTCGCAGTTTTGGTTCATTAACCAAGATGATTAATTTCAAGTTTTAGTCTGCTGATATTCGTACTTGCTTTATGGTTTTGTATTCCCTATAGAAACATATTTCCCTGCAAAAATTAATATTTAAAAACCTATAGAAACACAATAGCACTAGGAAAAGGTGTGAACAATTTCCCCATTTACCTCCTTGAGGTACAATATAAACATCAAACGCTAGTTAGAGCTTGTTTCAAAAGTAACAATTATTGATTCCAGTCCTACGGCTGGTGAAATAAGAACTTGGCTGCTGCTTGTCAAACAGTGAGCTCTTGGATCGCAGACATGCCGGCAGAAGTATGTCTCGCTTGGTAGTGAATGGGCCTGTTTCCATTTTGCTTAAATCGTTGGCTGTCTGTTGCACTCTGCTAGTTTTATGAAACTTGTCAGCTTCATGCAATAGTAGCAGAGGCTCCAGCTGATTAGCACTTCCTTCAATAGCAAAATGTCACTGAGGCAGTGGGAATATATTGTGGTTAATAAGTAAAATGCAGCCAGACACATTTTAAGTGGGATATAGGGAAAGATGAATGGATGAGGTGGTTGATGATGGCTAACTTGTTTTAAGATTTATAGTGGAGGGTTTTTTTTCCATTTAGTACACGTAATCTATTCAAATATGTTTTTCTTTTCTGTTTCTTAAAGTTGCCAAAAGAATAAATCCCCCCCCAATAGCTCTGTATGATAAATACGGCACAAGCATGTTTGACTGTTTCTTTTTTTTTTTGTTTCTTTTTTTTTTTGAAAAATGAAATGTTAGTTGGATTTTTCCAGGGATGTCCAAACTGTGCCAGAATTCCAGCAGTTCCTTCTAATATGCATACATTTTAGCTGTAGCATTTGCTCCTGCTTTCAGTGCAGAAGTGGGACCTCTGAAACATGCAGGTTTTAACAGTCCATCTCTGCCCCTCACTGAAGTAAATAAAATGGAGCATTTGAAGAGAATATTATAATCTTTGCAATGCAAAATTTGGTATGGTGAAGCTGTCAGACTCCACAGATCTTGCTTGGGAGAGGATAGATTCATTGTATTTGAGTATTTTTAAAGTAATTTGCATTTATTTTCCTTTTAAGAGTTCTTTGAAATGTACAGCTTTATTCTCAGTGTATTTTCTTTTCAAACATTCACCAGGCTCAGTCTCAAGGAGCAATTACATTTAAAATCATACCTAGTGTGAAGGAAGAAGTGCCAGTGAAGGAAGGCAAGGTAGGCAATACTATTCCAGAAACTATTGCAGTAACTGTTCCACTGAGGAACAAAATATTGTTTGCTTGGATGCCAGAACCAAGAATGTGATTTATTCCTCCAGATTTAATTTTCCTAATGTGACAATGTGTAGCAACTGTACACTTCAGTATTCATGTGCTGGATTTACAAGTGGGTGTAACATGGTTCTTAAGCCCTAACTCTACAGCTGTAAAGTCGACATAGGTAATCTTCTGTCATCTTAGAGGACCAGGCTTGCTTCCAAGTACTCCTTTTCTTCCATCATAAACTTGGTAGAAGACACTCGATAATACCTTGGTTCAAAAGTATCTTCTCTTCTGTTCCCCATATGGGCACACAACTCACATTTATAGATCTGTTTGCCTCAGATCATAGAGCCTTTACTACACTGGGGTTGTGGTTGCAGAAGCAATGAATTTAAAATTCACATATGAACTTCTATGTTTGATATCCATCAGGATGTTTCACAGCAGTTAATGTTTATTGCTTTACATTATCTAATTCAGTGGTTTTTAACAGCGTAAGTAAAATTGGATTACATTTAATATTTTGATTCTAAAGATAAAACACTGTTTGTTTCAGATGTTTATTAGAGCTCTGTTTGATTACGATCCTAATGAGGATAAAGCAATTCCTTGTAAAGAAGCTGGACTTGCTTTCAGAAAAGGAGATATCCTTCAGATCATGAGCCAGGATGATGCAACCTGGTGGCAGGCCAAACATGAAGGTGATGCCAATCCCAGAGCAGGCTTGATCCCTTCAAAGCATTTCCAGGAGAGGTGAGCTACTGAGAAGCATAGTTTCATTATTTTTTGTAGTAAGACAAGACAATTCTTTGCCGAGTTGTTAATTTAACATAGTTGTCATATGTAATGCTCATAGATTACATGGTATGATCAACCTGCATTTGCAACAGGACAGCTGAACTTGGAAACCTGTTGCTGAAGTACTTTGGATTTTCTTATTTGTCTGGCTAGAATTAATAATGACAAAACCTGATAGGATAATGCTGATCCAGATTGAAAGGAAAAACATATGGAAAATAGCACATCAGTATCTGTGTTCACACTGATGCACTATGCAGGAATAGGAACTGAAGCAGGTTTTGGAAAGCTTACAAAAATTTGAGGCTGAGGATTAAACTTTTTTAGATTGTCAGTAGATTTCATTGTTTTAAGTTGATTTCTTATAAAATCTCCTGGATATTTTGTAATAGTCTCATGATGTTAAGTGTTTATTAATCCCGAACTTGCTGTGAAAACTGAGGAGTTTGTGTCTTTCCCCTACTACCTCCCATTTCATAGGAGATTTGCAGTAAGAAGACCAGAAGTGCAGATTCAGCCACTGAAAATTTCCAACAGAAAGTCATGTAAGTCTGTTAACCTGGAATAGAAATCATACTCCAGATCTCTAACCTTATAAAATAGCAGTTTGTTTCAGCCCTGTGACTACAGGATGCATTTCTCCTGGGCACAATAGTTTCTTGAATACATTGTATCAGTAGGAAAATAAATATAAGAGCTGAAATTAAAAGCAGCTAGCTATTTATCTCAACCCTCCAACTTAGTTTTAGAAACACAGAGCTCAATTAGTGTTTTTATGTATAATATTTCAAAGATTGAAGGGTGTTTTTTCCCTGTTGAAATAGTATAGAATTGGCTCAACAGATTTTTTAATTTGGACTGCATCAGTACAGTGAAATTTATGTTGAGAGTGAGATAAAAGTTTGGATACTCTCCCCTTCTCTCCCCTGTATAGTTGGTGATTCTTTGCATCCTATGAAGTAGCACAGATTTTTAAAAGTCAGGACATTCTGTTCTTTGACAGGCTTTCACAGAACCAGTTTTTATTGTTTTTTAAACAAATTCATTCTTAACAGTCTCTGCTTTTAAATACTATAGTTGCACAATGGAAGAAAAATAAGCTCTAAGAAAGAGCAATACATCGAAACAAATATTTTCTTTCCACTGGAATTTACATCAACATCTGTTTTAAGTATCATTGCATATTTTACTTGACCTGTTATTTCTTTCAGTTGTACAGACTCATAACAAAGTGAGTACAATGTAAGAAACTATCACGCTTCAGTATGTTCTAAATCTCAAATACAAACATGTTTGTGAGTTGAACTAGAAATATTCAGAAAGTGATCTAAAATTTCCAGCCATTTTTCATTCCTTAACATTAAAACAAAAAGTATAGATACTATGGTGAACAGTGGATGCTGGCACACTAAGTGCAAAACTAAATGCTTTTAACTTTAGAACTTCTCACCAATGTTTCTATTGCAATTTCCCTAACTCCTTGCTATGGCTTTTGTGTTCTGAAATTCTTCGGTTATTGTTAGTTTTCTAATAATTTGCTATTTGATTGTGTGCCCTAATGCTATTGTTAACTCCAAAGCCCTTGATAAGCTTTGTAATTACAGTAATGGACTATGTGATTGCACTATAGCTTTTCTAATTTACATAGGTCTTAGAAACAAAGAGGAGTTTCTACAGCTTGTAGTAAATCTGTTGTTTTTCTAGGTTCTAGGTCAAGTTGCTCTGCCCCAGTTTTGGAAAAGTGTCTGATCCCAGGGTATAGCTATTTCTCTCTGTCCACTGTTCTTGAATCTGGATAATACCCTCAACAAGAGCCTTCAATTAAGGTGGCACTGATGCTTTTGAAGAGGTAAATCAGCTGCTGCAGCAACACTGCATGATTCCTTTTCTAATAGATTGCATCTTTTTAGTGACCTTCAAGTGAAAGGTTTTACAAGATGCATCTCACCCTTCCAAATAGACAGCCTGGACTTGATTGGGAATTGCCAAAATTGCAATCCAAAGAAGACCCATAGTATGTCTGCTATTGTTGTCTCTGCTGTTTCCACTAACTTTCCCTTAATTGGCTTAAACAAGGGAGAAGAGTTCCTCTCTTCCTCCACTTTCCTTTAAAACTTGACAGGTCAGGCAGCAGGCCTATTATCCTCTTTCAGACTTCGTTTAAACAAAGCAAGGTCCAGCTAAATATCATCTAGAAGGCAGTGGTGCCTCTTGATGGAGGAAAGACTGCAGACTAATGGAGGCTTGTAATTTTTTCTCTTCAACATTCTTAGGATAATCTGCTGCTATGTTTGCCAGATTTCCATGGGAGGAGGGGAAGTGCTATTCTGAATAGAGGTCCATCCCATTTTTCAAAGACAAAATATATTTTTAGTGCTGGGAGGGAATTCAGATCCTTCATGGAGGAGGAGGCATTTTAAGGACAGGAATTCAGGTATAGAAAAACTGCTGTGACTAGGATGGTGCTTGAGTTGCTCTCAGGAAAACCTTCCACTTGCTTGGCTTTTCCAGAAGATTCCATGTAAGCTGGGAAACTCCACACCCTTGTGATCTTTCTCAGGTTAGGCAGCTTTTTCATATTACCAAGCATGTCAGGAAAGCTGTGGAATGGAAGGACCCTGTCTGTATTTGTTCACAGCAATCATCTTGCCAGAACTGGAGGATGCTGGAAAATCTTGTATTGCTCAGCTGAGCAAAAACATACTGCCAGCATTGGAGACATGTAAGGAAGGTGACACAGAACAGAAATTTGGGAAGAACTTCTGGATCTGATTTTTTTTTTTTTTAGCCCTTTTCTGTTTTGTGGGGTATGGCCCACTGATTATTGTCCTCTAAAATTTTATTATTTAACAAGTTTCTGTGTCAGGAGGTGGGAAATTGGTAATGTTTTATTTCATCTGATTCTCTTTTAATCCTGTATACTGGCCTTCAGCTTGATACAGGGTTCTCCAATGTTTAGAAGGGTAATTGTGGGGGGAAACTGATGTTCTGCAGATCTTCACAAACTACCTGTATATTGAGAGGTTGCTTGCTATCACAGTTGATCCCATCCAATCTTATCACCTGAATTTTCTCAGCAGTTTGGAGGAAAAGGGCAGTTTGCCAGCTGATATTCTTATAGCTTCCCAAAGATGAAAAATCTGTTGACTTCAGCAGAGCTGCTAATAAAAGTCCCTTTCCTGACAGGACTAAGAGTTGCACTAGGAAGCTTTCTTGCAACATGGTAAGTAGCACTAAATGTCAGCCTGCTCTGCTCAGTTGACTCATTTCACAGATCCCACCTTTTGTAATGAGGAAGAAACCTGGGTACATGCCTTTGTTTTTAATAGGGAGAATCAAGGAGAAATATTATATTTTCTTAGATACCCAGAAAATCTGAGTCAGCTCTGGTTTCTTAAGTGGGCTTTCAGGGTGGTAGTGTCATTCTACTTGAAAGTTAATCTAAAAATCAGTTAAAATCATATAACATATGAGAAGTATTCTGCAACTTCTGGTTTTTCCTCTCTTCTCAAGCCAGTTCTGGAACTGCGAAGGACTGTTGTATTCATCTAGAGAAGAGCTCTCTGAAATACAGTCAATAACTGTATTATAGAAACATTACCATCCATCTATTATTTGCTTTGATAATTAAGTATGTTTCAAAACCTACATGGAGCTAGATTGGATTACTTTTGGGAAGCTATTTCCTATTTTGAATTTTTTAGTTTTTCAGCATAGCAATGCATGTTATTTAAAGTTGTTACTCTGTACACATACTTCTGTATCATAAATTTGGAAGTAAAGTGGGCTTTTTTGGTGGTGCTTGTATGTGCACACATATCAAGGAAAGAGAATGGAGGTTACTTTCCACAGAACGTTTTTAGCAAGAATAATTTGCATTGAAAAAAAAAACCAAAACAACCAGAAACCTAAACCAATCAGTTTATAATAGAAATGTCAATTTCTTAGTTCAGTTTAATAGCCAAGTCAACTGTTTCATTATGTCTCTGTGTGTAGTACAAGTAAATAGCTTAGTTTTGTGGAAGATACACATGCACCCCTCTCCCTGCAGTTAGCCATTTTCTTGAAAGGCAAAATAGAATCATTCTCACATTGCACAAGTCAAAGTGAAAAACCTTTAATATGTCATGTGTATACTGGAGGAGGAGGCAAACCAGTGTACACTCCTTCTTGAAAGGTAAGTGAAAACACGCATTTTCATGTGCAAATGGAGAAGGCACATAGTTGGTACCTGGGAGTAAGGTCAAAGGAAATTGGTAGTATAGGGGTAGCCTATGCTGACAAGAAATGGTTTTACACTGAGGGGAAGACATAGAGAAAGTAGGAATAAAAAAAAGGGAAAAGCAGGCAAGTGAAATTTTGTATGGAGGATGAAGAAAAGAAGAAAGTATTGCAACCAGGGCACTGGAAGAGCAGACGGACAAAAGCTGTCCATCAGCCCCATTAGGCAAAATCCCACAAAGAAATTACTAGATTAATGCAATTAACAGTAATAAACAAGAGCATTACTATAGTTTAGTTGTTTCTTGATTCATTTTAAATCAAACACTAATGTATTTGCTTTCATATTCACCATTTCAAAAATTTAATGATTACTAATAGGAACTCTTGACTTCTTTTTGTTTGCTCTTATTGGCAGAAAACCTCGATAAATTCAACATTAATATATGATAAGTTTTAAAAGCATAAGTGGTAGTTAGATGTGCTGACCCACTGGTAAGATTGATAGTGGTACTTCCCAGGTTCTGAATTAGTGCAGAACTGATGGAGGGATAACAAACCTCTCAAACATTTTCAACATTTTTCTCAGTAACTAATAGGACTTTTTGGCAAATAGCAGCATTCTGCATTAATACTATGGGAAATTATAATGGGGGAAAAATGCTAAGAAAAAGCAGCATAGAAAAGAAAATAGGAAAATGGAACAAAAGGAACAGAGATGCATGAGATTCTGTGAGTAGACTAACTGTGTGCTGGGATGGTGAACATCCAGTATACCTGCACCTGGGGTGAGAGGGAGCTCTGTGGGGGGAGGTACAGTACAGGTGTGTCTGGTTGCATGCAATAGGCTTTGGTATGCCTGAGCATGTGAGCCACTGCTGAATGCCAGCTCTGCAGAAACTTGCTCACCTGGTATTCCTTAATAATACTTAACAGCATTCCTGGCTTTAGGTCACTTTAGCTTGGGCATAACTTTGTAGACAGAGTTGGCTCTGTGAGTTCTCCTGTCACTGCATCCTGGCTAACTACAAGCAACATAACACTCAGTACGGGGAAGAATTAATTTGTTCAATAGCTCCCAGTCTGTTAACTTGAATACAGAGACTGCTCATGTTCTGACTGTAGTAGTCATTGCCAACAAACATGATCATTCTTGCATTTGTAGCTTACTTTAATTTGTAAATAAAACAGTGATCACCTGTTTTTTTGAGGGAAAAAGAAATATGTTTCTTTGAATAACAATCAAATGACTTACTGCTCTGCAGATGTTATAAACTACAATAATCAGCCAAGACATTATATTCCTTCAGCATAATTTTGCTTTCACAGTGGTTACTGTGTTTATTCTTATGTTATATATGTGTTGTCTCTGGTATGAAAATTACTGGTAACTTTATATTTTCTACTAGCGTAGCCTGTAACTTCTGTTAACTTGTGCAGTGCATGCATATGTGTATGTGTATATCCATACCCAGTGTGTATAGTTATATATAAATATGTATATGTATGGAGCATATATGACAGAGCTGTTAGGAAATGTCTTTTCCATGAAAATACATTTGTTCTGTATATTTAATGCTAAATGTAAATACTGTGGCAAAGCCGTCATCGTATAGTTTTTCTAGGGCTTAAAAGCCATTTTACTTTCAATTTTGATTTACCATATGTGATTGGCATTGCATGAGCAAGAGGAAATATTTAACTGTAGCCAAATGGTGTTCATTCGAACAAGATGTAACCCAGTTTATCCATAGATGAGTGTCTTGTGAATTGAAGATTGTGTTCTGCCAACAAAAGAATTTAAACAGGCTAAAAGAATGAATGCTTTGTGCCACTTTTATTTGAAGAACAAACATTTAGGATAAATGTATAGGACATTTTTCCTTGTTAGAATCGCTGTACAATCTTAACTTAGCCTTTCTTCTCAGTATTTTTCTGTGTTCATATTTGAAACTTGATTGCCCACCTGCAGATAGTTATGAGTACAACCAAAAAGTAAACCAGACCTGTAGAGTAAAATTAGCACATTAGCATCTTTGTTCAGAAGTCTTCTGTCCTTACAAATATTAACTTCCTGCTACCACAGAGAAATTAAGGAAACCTGAAGTTGGATGACATGTGAGTCAAGGTCACGAGACAGAAGTGGAAGCGGATCTCATAAACTCTTGCTCTTTCCTTCACAGCAAGACTATCTTCATCTTCCAAGTTATCTTGGTAGCTATGCTGTTATCTGATGATAAGAGGATTAAATTAGATCACCTTAAGTTTCCTATAGCATGAACATGTATCGTTCAATCTACAAAAATCTATAGGATAAAAACCTGCAAAACAGTATAAATGTCGATTGCTACGTGGGGCTGTTCACCACTAAAGTATCAGGAGTGTTGAGTATATCCACTGTAACACAGGTCATTGTTATGTCACGATTTCTTGCTTACTAGAGCAAAATAAAATTTAAGGGATAGTGTAACTTGCTTGTGATAAGAAGCTAGAACGGAGCTGCTGAATCTAATTTTAGACTGAGAAGCATTTAAGTATGATTCCTTGATGGAAATTTTGTTGAAAAAAGCCAGCAAAAGCTAAACATTTTAATCTGGTGCTGGACTGCTCCAAAGAGTTGAGGAAGTTCCTGGAGTGGCACTAGTTTTGAGCTTCTTAACTAATATAATTTAGGTGGGGCCCCCGAAACCAAATCTTAATATATTTCAGTTAAAATGCATACAGAAATACAGTGTATGTGATACTGTTTTGTGTTGTTGTAGTTTAGCATATTTGCTACACTGAAATCTTTCTAAAACGAATAAAAACACCTACTTCCTAACCTTCCTTTATGCTTGTGTTTCCTATTTCTTTTTTCCCCACTTATGTCTTGGTTGTGCTTTGTTTTTTTCTTTCATAAACCTGTACCATGACTATTTTCTTTGTAACTTCCTCTCCCTTCTTGCAACACTACATTTAATTGATGGTATTTCTTCTTTTCTCAGTGTTTTATTTGCTGCTTGTTGCCTTATGTTGGTTTTGGGTATTTTTGTTTTCCCATAAAATTTCCTTATCTTTACTCTCTGTCTCCTTTTAGTCTCTTATTTATTCCTTCCAGATAAACAACTCTGTTTCCTTTCTCACCCCAATTTTGTGAAACTGTTGGCCTGAGATCTATCCCACTTTTCTGTGTCTCTAAATTTTGGAATTCAAGCATGTGTCTAGGCGTATCTACTGCATATGTACAACTGCTTCAGACACACAGACCTGTATTAGTTAGTGGTGAATCACAGTACAAAGTTTCCTGGCAAATATAACCTGTGGCTTTACCAGTGACGGGCCTGGTAAAATTCAGATTGGGAGCTACATGTAGATGACTTTCATAGCTGTATTAAGTTATGAAGACCCACTAATTTCTTAATTCTTTTCATTATAGACTGCTACCTTTATCCTTAGGAGTAGCCCAAGGGAAGGAAGGTTTTTAACAAAATACAGAAAGTTCAGAACTCCTTCACTTTATCTGTGTTAAACTTCAGCTTTTAGAAATTTTGCCTTATGCTCTCTGGGATCAGCTTACTCAGTTGGAATCCTGATGTTTTTGGTTTGTGGAGAAGACTATTCCTTTTCCTAGGATGGGTAGCCCAGGAGCCTGGGTTCCCCTCATATGTTCTCAGTCCTCCTGCTGTAGCTTCACCGTCTCCCATGCTTGTGGGTCTTCTCTGGAAGTCTGCAGTGATCAGGGTAGAGTTAGTCTATAGCTGTGTGTACACACAGACCTCTTTTTCTCCTGGTCCTTTCATGTTTATAAAGGAGGACTTGTTTCCAATGATAAAATACAAACAGAATACTTTAAAATGCATAGTCACTAGTTAAGTCAAAGAACTTTGTTGAATTTGAGATATTTTGATGTGAATTGAGCCATTAGTGACTTGTTTTTGGAAGGCACATTGCAGCTTCTTGATAGTGATAGAAATGAAAATATAGAATAATTTGTCATACATATCAGGAAATGTAAGAGGTCTCTCAGCACAGAGGAGAAAGAAATAGTACCTGGAAGCCAGCCTGCCATCCCAGGTCCAGCTTGAGGGCATCTGTCATTTCAAGAACTGGAAGCTTTTAAGGTCAGGAGAAGAAAAGGGATCCAACACTTTCAGTCTCAACTCACAAAACTGTTGGCACTTTTAAGACACCAGATGTGTTCAACCAAGCAGTGCTCACCTTAAAGGACTTTCCAGCGTACTAAAACCATGTGGTCACCTTGAGTGTAGACATAAACTTTAAATAAGATTCAGAGATGTCTTCCAAATTAATATTTTGAAACATAAGTCCTCAAGAAAAAGATACCATGAAATGATTCTGTATTTCTCATGCTGGCAGAAGACTCTTGTATCTGCTATGTGCCGTGAACTGGGAAAAGCTCTTCCATGTAGTGAGATAGACAGGAGACTTTTGACCTAGCCTTTGTTTGATACATCAGTTACACATGAAAGATTGTAAAATATCTCTTGAATTATGTCTTCACATTCCAAGGAAAGATAATGCATCATGAAACCTCCTTGAAATATTTATATTTTAGGCATATTTATTCAGATTCCAAAGGAAATCTGAACGAGATATAGATTGTAAAAATCCCTATATAAATCTAGACCTTGGTATATGTCCTTCTGATCAAAAATTCATTATATTTATCTTGCTTTTCTTTAAAAGCCCAAAGATGATTGTAAAAATGTATGTTTTCCAGTATCAAGGAGGCAGAAATTTCTTGACTTACTATAGGTAAACAGAAAATTTGGAGTAGGTCTATGAGATCAGGAAAGTGCGAGAGAAAAAAATGACAAGAACTATAGAGGTTCAAAAAAATACAAAAAACCCTCTCCGAAATCTATCTTCAAGGGCAGTAGCAGCTATTACTTTAAGTGCAGAAAAATACTGAGATTATGTTCACAGTAGAAATTCTAGGTTAAGACTGATTAAATGGAAGTAACAAACTTTGCATTAATTCCAGAGAGTTCTTCCATGAAGACTGAGTAAGGTCATTGCTATTAAATAAATAGTGGGAGAATCTCATATAGGAAATTAAAAATGCAGATAACATTTCAATGTCTTTTTAGGTCTTTTCTAACTGAGTGTAGTTAAGCATGTAAGTTAAACTCAGTGCTGGTATGTTGGTGTATGCCTCAATGTAATAGGTGCTATCAAGAGGATTTTAGAGTAGCTTACATAGCTACATTTTTTCCTATTTATGGAGCATTAAACAATATTACTTTGTTTTTTTGGCTGTTCTAAGATGAGGAAGCGGTTGAGTGTGGTAGGTGCATTTTTCTTTTTCAATTTAACTTTTCTTTCTTAAGTTATGTTTTCACTCCATTTAATGATTTCCTTTCCTATTTTTCCTTTGTGCTTCTCAGAGGAAATTGAAGGTACATGTACAAAAGTTTCCCTGCATAGCCCAATAATTTTATTTAGAGAACATGTGTTTAGAATTAAATTGCATATAGTCCAACGTTTCTAAGAGATGTTATAATGCTTTTATATTGCCACCAAATACATTGAATCATCTTTTGAAGCAGATAAAAATACCAGAATATTCCTGGTTGCTTCATGTAAAAATCAGTAATCTGAGCTATTGTTTTAAACTGCTTTCTCTCTTTTGAACTTTTGGAAGATATGTATAGGAAAGTAGTATCATAAAATAGTATTAGCAAGACTTGGGTGGGCTGGGATGGAAAGAGATGGTTCCAACTTAATTACACAGCCACGAGTCTTGCATTTCTAATTAGTACTGAAGAATATCCTTCTCTGAGATGGTAGAAAGTTCATCTATGTAGTATCATCTTTACTGTTTTCCCTCTGAGTGTAACCGGTTACTGTTATGCTTGCAGCATATGTTAAAGTAATAGCAGCTGATCTCTTGTATTTTTTTATTTTTTTGAAGAACATTAAGAGGCCTTTGTTTATAAAGGCATTAGAAATTGTAGCTCATATTTTTGATCAAAGGGCCTCTGGCATGTAAAAATATACACTATAGTTATTTTATATCAAATGAGAGGATGTGTTTTTGATCAAAACCCTTTCTGTCTAATCCAGTGAGCCAAAACTTAAAGCTAAAGTCTGATAATGTATAATTTACAAAAAAGCTTGATTTACATCAAATATGTTTTGCTTTCTTTTAAGTGGCATCATACCTTGTATTAACTGATAAACTGTGAATAATACAGTGCTAGAATTCTTTTTAGAATGTTTGCTGTCATCACAATCTTTGCTTGAAAAGGTAAAAAGATCAGTGTGCATGCTGCAAAATTCCAGAATATCTCCAGCTAAAATATAAAACAATAAACATTGTTTTATGTTTCTAAGAAAATGTCTTATTGAAGGCTTTTAATGCTATGCTTTGTACAGTTGTCATTTTGTAAGTAATTTCTTCTGTATTTTTTGCTGGGCTTCTAACTATTCTGCTTTATTTCTTGGCTCTTATTCTGTATGCTTTTACCCTTCGTCCAGAAGATGCTGAATGTGCGGGTCACAACAGTGGATCCTATCTAGGTGAGCAATTGGTTACAAAAGACAATTTCTTACTTTCTTTCAGCTTCTTTTCCCTGGAACTACTACTTTGCTTTTGGGGGTACTCTGCATACAAATGTCCTACTCTGCATGAGAAAAGCATGAATATTAAGTTTTTAAAAATGGCTCATTGGATTTGACATAAAGGATTTATTTATTGTATGCCTTTATCTGGTTACACATAAGCTGCTAAAATACTGGTTTGATTTTTTTAAAATCAAAATTAAAAAAAAAGTAAATTTGGGAAAAATATTGACTTTTCAAGTACATTAAGTTAGCAATGTGCTTAATGAAACAAAAAGGTTATTGTATCGTGAAACATTTGAGTAAGTCTTTAAAAGACACACTTTCCGGGTTTTATCCAAGTTTTGCCTACACTTTCTTTCTTTATATCTAACAATATTGGGAGAATTCAGTTAGAATATAGAGCAAATTTACAGGCACCAGTTCTTTTTCCACATTAGAAAATAAAGCAGGTTATAACAACTCAGTAGCTTAAATTTAGCTTTAAAGCTAGTCTGAGTTCAATGTATCATTGCGGGGAATGGGGAAGAGGAGGGGAAAGAGTCCTTTGGCTTCAGCCTTAAGATTCCAAATTTCAAACAAAAGCAACATTTTAAAAAGGTGAATGTTCCATGATATGTTTCAGCTTTTTAATTTGTGCCATTTTAAAAGCTATGTAAAATTATTTTAGTTGAAACCGTCCGGAATTCTTGCCAGCTGAAGGCTGGCTGGAGCGAATTTTGTGGCAACCAGCCCTTTTCCCAAGGCTTTCATCCTCCTACTACAGGAGGAATGGGAAGAAACTTGTCAAAGTGCTTTAGTACATCCAAGCCAGTGTGCTTACTGAAACAGTCGAGACCAGTATGGTGAATTAGAGATGGTTTTCATATTGCAGTATACTGTTTTTAAATGCAGTATAGCAACTACATCAGGAACACACAAACTGCATAGCTGAAAGAACTTTGACCTCTTTCAAAAACCTTATTGTGGAATAATTTCATCACGTGTTTGTGGAACTGGTGGCCATCTGATCATGCTGAAAATAAACTTCTTACCTTTGTTAGTTAACCAACTAAATGTTCAGTTGTGAGTGTGCTGAGAAACTGGAGTATGCTTGGAAAATCATGCTTTGGATGTGATTCCATATCAAATCATCTCCTTGAAACAGAAGAGACACTTCCCTCCCCCATCTTTTCTGCTGTCTGCAAATACAGAGTGCATGAATTTTTAAGGTGAGACTATCATGGTTTTGCCATAAAGGTAGCAAAACAGAATCAGAGAATCACAG